ATCCCATCCTTTTGCACCGATGAATGATCCTCCTATATGTGGAATAAATGTCTTCACTAACCTATTGATGCATCTTGCGGTGGGATCCAACTAAAGTGAAAGAGAATGAAAGCCAGTGCTATGAGTGGAGTGCTCTGCAGCAAATTGATGACCTCACAAGAATAAATGGATTCCTCTACAGAAAAACACTGAATGTTTAGACCTAGGAGTGAGTGTAGCTATCAGTATAGGTTGGTATGAAGAGCTTGGGCTTCAGATCCAGGCTGACTGGGTCCCAGTTTCCCTTCCACCACTAATGCACAGCCTTGAAGCTGAGATGGAGCTAACTGTCCTTTCTTTCACCCATTTGGCCACCAAGATACATTAATCATATCTAACTGGTCAGACATTTCTAAAAAGCAAGGCATTGCCTTCCTCCTTTTCCAACCCATTTGCATCCTGCTGGAAACTCCACCAAAGAAAACAATTCTAGATAGAAAAAGACTCTTCATTAGTCAACAGTAGAAAAAGTAGCCTTATTGAGCTACTTAAACTCCTTGAACCATGGTTTCCAATTTATAAAATTAGAGTAACACTCTACCTGGTAGGCCTGGTATGAGGTTAAAATGAGACGTTATCTAAAAGTTTGTTGTTGTGTTTTTTTTTAATCTAGGCGGTGCCCCTTATAGCTAGATATTACACTTACATGTCCAGCAGAATTAAATGGATTTCCTGGACCATTTTAGACCTCAAATACATACCACCACCCTTCCCAGGGTTCTTCTAGAATGCAGAAAATAAAGGGAACCTTGGGAGTAGTTGTTGCTAGTAGGTAGAAAGGCAGTGGTATTTGAAATGTTATACACAGTGAACTACAAGAGGATAAGCCCCACCCTCTGAGGTTAAAGCTAGTACAAATCAGCATGTGGCAGAAGAGATAAGACTCAGGAAGAAACATCTTGTTTACAGTTTTGTGGATTTCTAAAGAATCCATAAAAACCCTAGACTATCTTGTGGGAACTAGAATATAAATGTGAAGATGCAATTTGCTCAATTGCATTGTGACTGGAGTGTCTGAAGCAACCATGCAGCAACAGATGGGTAAGACCTGCTTGGAGTCAAGCCAAAGAAGCCAAACAGTTGGACTGTGTCCTGGGTCTGCAACCTTGCACAAACCTGGGGGATCTGGTCATTGACAAAATAATCCTCTTTCATCTCACTACTAGTATCATCAGGATGTAGAAGTTAAAGACATTAAACCATGGAAGCCTCAGGTTTCCACTCTTCTTAGTCCATCTACACCAAGTCATTTTTTTTTGAGATTTTATTTATTTTTAGACAGAGGAGAAGGGAGGGAGAAAGAGGGAGAGAAACATCAATGTGTAATTGCCTTTCACATGCCTGTCACTGGGGACTTGGCCTGCAACCCAGGCATGTGCCCTGACTGGGAATCGAACCAGTGACCCTTTGGTTCACAGGCCAGTGCTCAATCCACTGAGCTATACCAGCCAGGGCCCAAGTCATCTTCTAGTAGAAGTTTTGCTACATTGTATATAGTTTCCTAAATGGCAGAAATTAGGGCTACATTTCTCATATTATATTGTTGCATTGTAGTCTATACTGTTAGGGTATTTCCAACAAGAATTAGGCTTCTGTTTTGGGCTCCACACTTAATTTTTGAGTATCTTGGCTCAAAGCCACCCTACTTACTATTTCTTCCCTGGAGTCTTGTATTTCTTTAATCAACTGCCATTTGCTGACTACTTGTGGTTCTTTAATCCTAAAATACTTTTCATTACATCTATTTGATATGTAGAAGTTCTAAAATTCTGGGAATTTGACTGATTTATTGGTGTCAAATAGTGTAGAAGGACCCAAGTCAATCACAAAGGTCAATCACCTACTCTAGAGGTCCTTACAGGCAGAGCCTAACAAGATGCCAAAACACTCTAAACAAACATCATTCAACTTTTAAATGCTAGTGTCATTTGGAGTTAGGTGGGAAACAACACCTGAACTCCCATGGCACTAGAATCACTGTGATTGCCACAGAACTTCTGAGAAGGCTGTGATAACAGGAGGTATTTATTTTCATTTAAGCTTCCTTTATACCCCAAGAGTCAAGATAACTGAAGAGACTAAGAACTCCATCAGTCTCTTATAGATTTGGTTACTTGATTCTGCCCCCACAGCTTGATTCCCTTCGCATTCACTGACCTCATACACACCTTGAACTGTTTAAGGCTGGGAACCAGACCTAGAGCTATGGTGACCCTACCAAGAAATACCACCTGTGAGGCTAACTGTCTCTTAAATTTTATTCCTAATTGCCAGAGGAGAAATTTAGAAGGGAATCTTGGGATCCACCAAAGGGAACATTAGGTTTTCTATAATATTGAATGCAAGTGCTAGAAAGGATCTCATAGGACTAGTCATTCCAATTTCATTGTTATAGAATCTGCAGCCCAGAAGTGATGTGACTTTCTCAGGGTCACAGACTTAACTGCAGAGTTATCATCTAAACTCAGCTCTCCTGGATTTCCATTGTGCTTTCCACATCATTACATGGCCTCCTGTGTTCAAGTATCTCTGAGTGACCTAACCCTGAACATATCTTAGAAAGAAGAAAGGAAGAAGTAGCACTAGGAACCTGAAAGTCCTGGGGCTTTTTTCAACACCATAAACAGGGCTGGCTGAAGCAGTGTCTTTTGAGAGACAACCTTTCTCAGGTATCTGTTTCTTTTATAATGTTTCCTAGTCCCTCTGCATCTCTTCTTGTTGAGAAGTGGTACCTTACTTCATCTTGCAACAGAAAGAGAGAAGTGGGACCTCAGATATCCCTGGGCTCTCCTGATTCTTCTTTGGTTTCTTAAAAATAAAAAAAAAGCTTTTATTTCATTTTTAGAGATGGGAAAAGGGGGAGAAATAGAGGAAGAGAAACATCAATGTGTAGTTGCCTCTCACACACCCCATAATGGGGACCTGGTCTGCAACCCAGGCATGTGCCCTAGACTGGGAATCAAATTGACAACCCTCTGGTTTGCAGGCAGGCATTCAATCCACTGAGCCACACCAGCCAGGGCTCTTTTTTTGGTTTCTTTAGGGGAATGTCTGCTCTCTTGTTGGGGACTACCCTGCCTGGTCTCAGGAAGCTGTAACCTCCCGTGACTTAGGCTGAGTGAGAGACCTCCAGACCAGGAGCCACTAAGGAGACAAAACTTATTTCCCTGGCAGGAACACTGCCTGTTCTGTGCCCAAACCTCCTAAGCTTGATCAGTGAGCCAGTGACGGGTAAGATTTCCCACAGAGGGAATCGCCTAGGACAGGCATGATCACATAGAGGCTTCTGGGAAGAGACTTGGGGCTGTGGAAATGAAGCGGTGATGGACATCAACCCCTGCCCCCTCAGCTTTGTAAAAGCCTGAGTCCTTGTTCTTAGGAGTGAGTAATCCAAGTCTCCTGGCTGTCTTTGTCTCTGTTGACTCAGGCCTGCAGAAATAGTGGGGGCGGTGCAGCCCAGACCAGAAATGGCAGACCCCTTGGGTTATCAGGCCTGGGACATAGAATATGCAAGATCCTGTGAGATCTGTTTGCTGGAGGATGTTATTAGATTAGAATTTGAAGGCATAGACAGGAAACCAAAACTGCCCTTTGAGTTCTGTTACTCCTTTTAAATGATAAAATTCCAAGCTCTGCCCAGAATCACAGCAGGGGTTCTGTCTGCACCTTTTTAAGTCACCTGCTTCTTTTCATCTTTTCTGCCAGACTGTGAATCCACAAACTAAGTCTGGATTCTCAATAAAAATCTGCTTGGGAATGGATACGGGGTGCTCTCCACTAGAGAGAGTGGACATTCTGTCCCTATTTCCCCACAGGACCTGGTTGTCTCTTGTGTATGTTTTTCTCGTGTTTCAATGAGCATCTGCAGCAGAGATGGATACTGCTGGCCGGTATCAGCCACACAGTGGTCTGGTCCTTGAACTGGTAACCACTAAGATCTAACTGCTACTTCTGGGCTTCTGAGTTTATATACTCACTGCTGGAGCCGATTTTTCACAATCTTAACATCCCTATTTAAAACCACCTCTTTAGCCTGATCCCAGGATTCTGTTGATCTCCTGTGTGGGATATCTGGAAATTTCTGAATCTGCTGCATACCAGGTATAGGCCATTGAAAGGCAAATTTATTTATCTAGCCATATTCTTCCATCACTGCTGGGCTATCATATCATTTTCCCTCTACCCCCAGGTTCTAAGCAGGGAGTGAGGAAAAACTTTCTCTGCTTACACTTTTCCCTATGTAGTAAACATAGAGAGAGTGGTCAAGGCTCATGTGTCTCATACTATCTTTCTCTACCTCAGCTTCCTTTCTCTTCCCAGAATCCAGTAAAGTGATAGGGGTGAGCTTTCTTTTCTTGTGTGGTAGAGGCTTCCCTTACCTCATAGTCACTCCTTTTCTGGGGCACTAAGGCTAATGACTAAGCCTTAATTGTGGAGGCTTCATTAAAGGATTAACCTTTACATGGTATTAAAGAAGTCACACAATCTCTGTTAGCCAGGAATGGCTTTTGATTCTGAATCTTTGGGATAACCAGAAACTAGAGATTAGGAAGGAAGGAGGTACATTGGCTTAATATTCTCAAAATACTATATCTATCACACAGATAAAAACAGATATATGAGCCCAGGGGATGACCAACAGATACCTCTCTCTCACTGGTGGCCCCCTGAAAATATATCCAGGACTAACTAGGACTCGATGGAACACAGTTGAAAAAGGACCATAACTAGAAAACCCTGGGGTCCCTCCCCTTTCCTGGACTTCTGTTTCCTCAATTGCCAAATAATAAACATGAACTAAATAATTTTTACAATTTTGTCAAACATTCTGGTTAATCATATTTTTTAAAAATATATTTTTAGGCAGTTTGGGTGGTAGCAGCCAGAAAGTCTAGATTTACAAAGATTTCGTAAGCACCATGGCCCTCAGGAACTCCACACATGCCCACAATGCAGCCATGATGCCCAAGACGAAGGTCAGTTCCACTGAGGGGGTGGTGAAGGAGGAGCCCAAGAGGAGATCCACAAGGTTGTCAACTAAACATGTTCCTGAAAAAGTGGAAACCAAACCAAAAATGGCGGCAGGAAAGGATAAATCTGAAGACAAAAAAGTGCAAACAAAAGGGAAAAGGGGAGCAAAGGGAAAACAGGCCGAAGTGGCTAACCAGGATCCTAAGGAAGATCTAGCTGCAGAAAATGGAGAAACTAAAAATGAGGATAGTCCAGCCTCAGATGAAGCAGGAAAAAAAGAAGCCAAGTCTGATTAATATCATATATCATGTCTTATCAGTGGTTCCTGTCTCCCTTCTTGTACAATCCAGAGGAATACTTTTATCAACTATTTTGTAAATGCAAGTTTTTTAGTAGTTCTAGAAACACTTTTAAGAAGGAGGGAGTTCCACCTCATCCCATATTTTTAAGTGTAAATAGTTTTTTTTAAGAGATTAAATCATTTGCTGATTGTTTATTTTTTGGTAAACTAGAAAATAGTGGGATATTGCATATGGGAGGCTTTGATTGCCTTGAGTGTCAGATAAACATTCCATAGATGGGAGTAGTTTTTATATCCTATAATACAAAGCATATTAAATGGCCATTTGAAGTCAGTCATGTGTTTACCATGTCTTGAACATTTTAAATTACTTCTATTTTTTCACTTTTTAAAAATATATTTTATTGATTATGCTATTACAGTTGTCTCATTATCCCCCCTTCATTCCCCTCCACCCTGCACACCCTCTCCTACCCACATTACCCCCCTTTAGTTCATCTTTATGTGTCATAAGTTCATTAGCTTCCCCATTTCCCATACTATTCTTGCCCTCCCCCTGTCTATTTTCTACCTACCATCTATGCTACTTATTCTCTGTACCTTTTCCCCCTCTCTCCTCTTCCCACTTGCTAATCCTCCATGTGATCTCCATTTCTGTGGCTCTGTTCCTGTTCTAGTTGTTTGCTTAGTTGTTTTTTGTTTTTTATTTAGGTGTGGTTGTTAATAATTGTGAATTTGCTGTCATTTAACTACACATGTTTTTTATCTTCTATTTCTTAGATAAGTCCCTTTAACATTTCATAAAATAAGGGCTTGGTGATGATGAACCCCTTTAACTTGACCTTATCTGAGAAGCACTTTATCTGCCTTTCCATTCTAAATGAAAGCTTTGCTGGATAGAGCAATCTGGGATGCAGGTCCTTGTCTTTCATGACTTGGAATATTTCTTTTCAGCCCCTTCTTGCCTGTAAGGTCTCTTTTGAGAAATCAGCTGACGGTCTGATGGGAACTTCTTTGTAGGTTATTGTCTCTTTATTTCTTGTTTCTTCTAGGATTCTCTCCTTCATTTTTATCTTGGCTAATGTAATTATGATGTGCCTTTGTGTGTTCCTCTTGGGTCCAACTTCTTTGGGACTCTCTGAGCTTCCTGGAAGTCTATTTCCTTTGCCAGAATGGGGAAGTTCTCCTTCATTATTTGTTCAAATAAGTGTTCCACTTGTTGCTCTTCCTCTTCTCCTTCTGGTATCCCTGTAATTCAGATGTTGGAACATTTAAAGATGTCCTCTCCAGGACATCTAAGCCTCTTCTCATTTTTTTTTTAATTCTTATTTCTGCATTCTTTTCTGATTGTATGTTTTTTTTTTCCTCCTTCTGGTCCACTCCATTGATGTGAGACCCAGCTTTCATTCCATCACTATTGGTTCCCTGTGCATTTTTCTTAATTTCACTTAGCATAGCCTTCATTTTTTCACCTAATTTGTGACCAAAATCAACCAATTCTGTGAGCATCCTGATCACCAGTGCTTTGAACTGTGCATTTGATAGGTTGTCTATCTCTCAGCCACTTAAAAGTACTGGTTCTGAGGCTTTCAATTCTGTTTGAGCCATCTCTTTTTTCCCCCTTTGGTCTGGTAACACCTGTTATGTATAAGGGGCAGAGCCTTAGATGGTCACCAGGGCGGGGCACCCCAGTCACTGTGTTATGACTTTGTATGTGGGGGTGGTGTCCAAGAGGGAGTAATAGGGCTTTCTCTGCTCTCCATCGGACCTCAGTCCCTACCGCCACTTCCCCTGAGCAAACTGGGCCCCTCTGGTGTCAATTCCTGTGTGTGTGGGCTTGTGCACCTTGTGGGACTTTCCAACGACCTCTCCTGTGATGCTAGGAGTCTCTCCCTGCTCCTCAACCCCCACAGGTGTTTTTAATCAGTGTCCCAAGGCTCTATTTCCCAGTGCTGGGATCCTGGGTTGTGCACGGTGACTTGCTTCACAATCACTGCCTTGCTGTGTCTGTCGGTAGCCACCCCTCAGCTGGGGTCTGCCAGCTGCTGCTTGTGCATGCTTTGGGTCCACCCGCTGCAGTCTTGCATGCCCCGGATATCTTATGTGCCCGGTCCCAACGCTCTCAGCTCTCCGCGCCATGACCTGAACCAGGCTGCCCAACTCCATCCACCCCTCCTATGGGTCTAGATGAATGGGTCTATTTTAACTCCTTGGGTGTCTGACTTCCATATAGTTCAATTTTTTTTGTCAGTTCTGGTTGTTATTCTGTTTCTAAATTATTACTGTCCCTATCTTGGTTGTGCAAAGAGGCACAGTGTATCTACCTATGCCTCCATCTTGGCCAGAAGTCTCTTAAATTACTTCTCATGTTTTTCATAGAATTGTTTCCTAAAGAAAACCACTCTTTGATCTTGGCTCTCCTTGTCAGAATTTTGTGTACTTTGTGACAGCTTTTTTGTGGTAGTCTAGTTTTCCTAGTAACTCTGTTAATGTGCTATGAAAGATAAAAATTTGATTACGTAGTATATATATTAAATTGTGAATTAGTTGGGCTATGATGTAACAGCATATCAATATTTGAAGATATTGGTACTTGATATTCTATTAAGGAAATTAATCCCCAAATTGTAAGCTGGGAAATCACTGGAATAACTTCAGAAACAAATCACAACTACATGACTTCACATTTTTGGTATGTATGTTAAGAATTGTGTACTAATTGAAATTTCTGTGTACTTATCCTCAGAACAACCAATAAAATCTCACTTATGAAAAAATATATTTTAATTACAGTTTATACTCAGTATTATTTAGTATTATATTAATCAGTTTTTTAAAAAATATAGACTCAGAAAAAAATCTGCTTAGCACTAAAGCTCTACTAGGCAAAACTGTTTCTTTTCTGATGAGTCAGGAGATAATGAGGCTCTTTGCTTCCTCTGAGTCATCCATAGAAACAACAAACCTCATGTTCTAGAGCTTCACCAAAATGTGGACTTGTAGGAATTTCCAAATGATTAAATGCCAGACAAATCAGCTTTTGCAGCAATAACCTATTTCCTTTTTCCTGGAATTATTTTTGAAAGAAATGATCAAGTGATCCAAGATGGTGGAGAAATAAATGGAAGCTATACTAATCTCTTACCAGGACCAATATGGAATCACAACTAAATTGTAGAGTAATCATCCTGAATAACCAACTGAACACTAGCTGGAGAGAAGCCTTATAACAAAGGACAGACAGAAGAAACCACTTCACCGCAACAAGACTGGTAAGGAGTATGAAGGAGGCACAAGAGGTCTGGCTGGGCTCTCATGGGCAGTAGCTGAAGTTCCAAAGGAATATTTCAGCAGCCAGCAGGGGAGTTCCACCTGAAAAATATGGGGTCTAAATCTCAAGGTGGGCTCCCCAGCCTACAGCACCTGAGCCAGAAAAGAACTCAGATGACATCAAGCTGTGAAAAGCATCAGGGTTTCTGTCTGCCAGGGAGAGATGGCTGGAGATGTAGAGAGCCCCTTAAAGGCCAACACACAAAATTTCTTTTGCAGCCACTTATGTTGGGCTCTGGCAGAGGAAGGGCAGAGTGAACTAGAGACAATTGAAGATAATCTTGGGTTGGTGCCTCTGGAGAGAGAACAGAAGGAACAGCCACCAGGATTTCTGTGCTGAGTCATTTCCCATAGTACAGGAGCCATATTTCTCAGGCAAAGCACTCTTTTCAAAGTGGTATCAACCTTAAAGGAAGCAATATCCCCATCCACAGGAATTACTCTGCCCCACCCTGTGGAGCATAAGCTGGGCTGCTGATTACAGCTTGATTAGTTTAACAATTGATCGATTTAACAGCTAAGGTGGAAAATACAAAATGGGAAGATAAAAAAACAGACCCCCAAATGAAAGAACAAGAGAATTCTCTAGAAGAAAACCTATAGAGAGTTTAGAGTAATGATTATAAGGATACTCAACAGCATGAAAAAAGACTTACTAACCATAAAAAAGGACCAGTCAGAAATAAATAATGCAATATCTGAAATAAATAATATCGTGGAAGGAATAAACAGCAGGTTAGATGAAGCAGGAGATAAAATCAATGATTTGGAAGACAAGGTAGAAAACACCATCCAGGCAATGCAGCAGAAAGAAAAAAAGAATTTTAAAGAATGAGGAGAAATTAATGATTATTTTGAAGAACATGAAGCAAAACAACATCCACATCATGGGGAGGAGAAGAGAGCGAGCAAGTGATCGAGAACCTATTTGAAGAAATAATGACTGAAAACTTCCCTAACCTGGTGAAGGAAAATGTCAAGTCTAGGAAGCTAAGAGAGTCCAAAACAAGTTGTAACCAAGACACATCATAATTAAAATAACAAGGCTTAAAGACAAGAAGAGAATTCTAAAAGCCATAAGAGAATAGCAACCAGTTACATAAAAGGGAGCAACAATTAGACTGCCATCTGATTACTCAACAGACATATTTCAGGCCAGAAAGGAGTTGCATGAAATATCCAAGGTGATGAAAAATAAGGACCTACAATCAAGGCTACTTTACCCAGCAAGGCTATCATTTAAAATGAAAGCAGCAATAAGGAGTTTCCCAGATAAGAAAAATCTAAAGGTGTTTGTTGACACCAAACCAGTACTGCAACAAATGTTAAATGGCATGCTAGATGAAGAAGGAGGAGGAGAAGGAGAAAGAGAAGGAGAAGAGGAAGAAGAAAGATGACAGCAAGTATGTGGGAGCTGATCAAATTTATTCAAGCACCCAACTGGGACACTTAGCAGTCTTCCTGAAGAATAAAGTGAACAGCCAACAGAATCTGAGCTGATGTGAAGTTTGGAAGCCAAAGTGAGCAGAGGATGCTTCAAAACAGGTGGTATGGAGGTGTTATGGGCAGATGGGGAAAGTCCCTTAGGCAACAGCTTCTGCACAGACATCAGACCTTGGAGGAGAGCCAGGTCAGTGATAGCAGGCTAGTGGCTCGCTCCCCTCC